CTCTCTCTCTCTCTCGCTCGCCCCCCCCCCCCCCCATCCTTTCCCTTCCCTTTCCTTCTCTGCTCCGTTTTCTTTTCCTCTATCTCCCAGTCCAGACTGTGAAGTCCCTAGAGACCAGAATGGCAAGGACCGGCCCTGCCAGGCAATCCAGGGCGTGGGAGGCTGCCAGAACCCAGGCCTTCTTCCCAACGGACTGTACATGGGATGGAAGCCGGACCTCAATCCCCTGGGAAGACTCCCATCCTCCCCCATGCCTCCACCCCACCCCCCTCTGAGATCATTCTACAACTATGTGGGGTCCTGGCAACAGTGGGCAGATGGGGAAGGTGGACCAGAGGAGCAGGGAGCCGTGGGGTTCCTAAACATGCTCTTTACCGTCTCCCTGACAGACACACAGACCGAGGTCGGCAGCCCATTTGTGGGGAACCCAGGGAATATCACAGGTGCCAGAGGACTCACAGGGACCCTTCGGTGTGAGCTCCAGGTCCAGGGGGAACCCCCTGAGGTGTCATGGCTTCGAGATGGACAGATCCTAGAACTGGCTGATAACACCCAGACCCAGGTGCCCCTGGGCGAAGACTGGCAAGACGAATGGAAAATCGTCAGTCAGCTCAGGTTCGGCACCTGTCGCTGGCCAGTGATCTCCATACACACAGCCCTTCCACACCAAGCCACCAGGCAGTCATGTCACCTGGGTTGGGAATCTCCACCTGACCACTTACTGGGCACGTGGCTCTGAGCTTGCGATATGACCTCCGGGTTTCGTTTTCCTCTTCTGTAAAAATGAGTTAAAAATAGGACCTACTTCAGCCTCCTATAAGTTTCCTGTCCAGACCCCCTCCCTCTTTCGGTTCTGCTGACCCTCCCTGTGTTCGACCCTGACCCCCAGCCTCTCTGTCCCACCTCTTCCCTTCTAGAATCTCAGCCCTGCAACTTTCAGATGCAGGAGAGTACCAGTGTATGGTGCACCTGGAAGGACGGACCTTTGTGTCTCAGCCTGGCTTCGTAGGGCTGGAAGGTGAGTTCTCGGGTCAGAGCTTCTGCGGGGGTCGGGGGGGATAACAGGTGATGAACTCAGGAGTTTTTCCATTGGGATATAAAGTCCAGAGACATATGGAATCTTGGGAGTTGGGGAGGCGTGGGAGGCTCTAAATTATGGGGGACAGACAGATCTAAGGCAGATTCTATGTCCCAGAGGAGAGAGACTTGGGGAGATTTTGGATGTCCTGGGGAATTAGATATGCTTGGAGTAGGACCTTCTTTCTGGTCTTGGAGTCAGGTGCTCATGAGCTAATTCTCCCATCCTTCCGGGTACCTTACTTCTTCTTTAGGAAAGGGATACAAGGAAAGCCAGGCATAGTGATGCCCACACATAATTGCCAAATTCAGGAGACCAAGGCAGGCCATCTGTGGTTTGAGGCTAATCTGGGATCCATAGCAAGACCCTCAAAAAGAGAAGACCTGAGCATGGTAACCTTTAATCCCAGCACTGAGGAGGCAGAGGCAGGAAGATTTCTGTGAGTTCAAGGCCAGTCTGGTCTACATAGTAAGTTCCAGGACAGCAGAGAGAGAGAGAGAGAGAGAGAGAGAGAGAGAGAGAGAGAGAGAGAGAGAGAGAGAGAGGGAGAAGAGAGAACAGGAAGAAGGAAAGGGGCAGTTAGAGGGGGAGGAGGACGAAGAGAAAAAGAAAAACAAGAGACAAGGCGAGACTTTTACATGCCCTGAAAAATGTCCAAGGTGGTCAGGCATAGGCTAACCCAGATGTTGGAAGCTCAGTGCCAGGCATAGAAGCATAGAGGATCAGATATCTGAAGGTGAAGCAGGTGTCCTGAGGGACCAGACATAAGGGACAAGTCAAAGACCCTGCAGGGTGGTTCTAACATCCAGCATCCTAATGATAATCTGGGGGCCCTCAACGGTTCAGAGGGAACCAAGCTCTGTCACTGACTGCCCAGGTCTACCGTACTTCCTGGAGGAGCCTGAAGACAGAGCTGTGCCTGCCAACACCCCCTTTAACCTAAGCTGCCAGGCCCAGGGACCCCCGGAACCCGTGACCCTACTCTGGCTTCAAGATGCTGTCCCCCTATCCCCAGTCGCAGGATACAGCTCTCAGCACAGTCTGCAAGCTCCAGGTGAGTCTCAGCGTGGGCCAAAGCAAGGCAGCCAGGGCCCTTCGTGCGACATGTCTGCATGTCTGTCCACTTGTCTCTGTCTTCTGTCTCTGTCTTATTTCCCTCCCTGTGATTTTTTTCTTCTGTCTATCTGTTCTCCATTCTCCATCCCTCTGTCTCTCCATCACTGTTTTGCTACTTCTGTATGTGCCTCTGTTCACCCCACCCTGCCTCTCTCTCTCCTTCCCCTGCTCACCCCCGCCCCTCCCTGCTCACCCCAGTCTCTCTCTGCTCACCCCAGTCTCTCTCTCTGCTCACTCCAGTCTCTCTCTCTCTGCTCACTCCAGCCTCTCTCCCTGTTCACCCCAGCCCCTCTGCTCAATAGCATTCTTTGTCCCAAATCTCCTCTAAAGCTGTCCAGTGGCCCAAGTGTGTAGGCCTGGTGCTCCTTTGTCAGCCCTGACCCAAGCAGGGCATCAGAACGAACCAATACCCTCCTCTGTCCACTTCCTCCTTTGACCTGCCCACCTCCTGCTCCGAAGTGTCTCCTAGGCCTCAGTCTCTGCTCAGCTGAGGTTTCCTGGGAAAGCAGAGCCCAGAGTAGAATGAGGGAGGGAAAGTAAGCAACAGAGAAAGCCAGTTAGAGAAGACAAGGGTGGAGGCTCGTACTGGCAATCCCAGAACTTGGGAAGCTGAGACAGAAGGATTGTCACCAGTTTGAGGTGTGTCTAGCTGACATGGTGAGTTCAAGGCCAGCCTGGGGTTACAGTGTGAGACCCTGTCAATAAAGAAGAGGCAAAGGGCTGAGGTTGGTAGTCAGTAGAAGGCTTGCCTTAGCAAGCTCGAAGCCTTATCTGTTCAAAGCACCGTGTAAGCCAGGCTCGGTGGTGCACACTTGCAATCACAGCACTGTTGGAGGCAGGACTGCCAGATGTTCAAGATCGTTCTCGATGATCAAGCTCAAAGCTAGCCCTGGCTACTTAGTGAGTTAGAGGCTAGCCTTGGGCAAGGTGAGGAAGGAAAATTAAAAGAGAACAGGCCACTGAAGTGACCCAGCATGGAGAAAGAGACACACGATGACATGTGGTCTGAATGACGGGACACCTATTTCAGAGTGACTCTCTCTTTCTGTACTATACAGACTGGGCATTTTGCTTAGGGTCACATAGTAGTCAGAGACAGGGCTGGGGGACCTTGAGTGTCCCTTATCAAAGAAGAAGAGATGGAGGCACACATAGCAACACCCAGAAGAGTAATGACTTCCTATTCCTAAAACTCCACCTGCCGCCTCTCAGGGGAGGTAAGGAAGGGTCTCTCAGTGTGGAGGGAAGTGCTCACATTCCCAGCATTCTGAGAGCCCTGAGTGTGCAAGGAAGTGTGATGAGCACGCTGGCCCCCAGAGGGGTGACTCAGGCCTGTGGCTCGAGTGGCCTGGTAGGGATAGGAATGGGGCCTGAGTCAGCCTGGCTGGGCAAGAAGGGAGGAGGGGAGAGATGGGGCCAGCAGGTGTGAGAGGGTCTTCTGTGTCTCTCAGTGTGTTATGACAGAACAGAAGCATCTGCAAAGAGGTGACGGGTTCCACCTGTGTAGCCCTGTCCTCCCGGATTGGCTGGTCCATCAGCATCAACTGCTCTGTAGGAGGGAATGCCTCAGTGAGGTCCAGCCTCTGTGGCTCTCAGAGGGTGTCTCTGTAGCTATCACTAAAGGTCAACTTTGTCTTGTATCTCTTTTCCTTCTGTGCTCCGTGTTCACGGCTGTTGATATCGGATGCGACCAGAGCTGTTGGCACCGTGTGGCTAGCTAGCTTGAACACCTCTCTGTATTAAGGTGACGACATCAGTTCACAGGAGTGCACCTGGGGTTGTATGTACTGTTGCGAGGTCCCAGTCCCTTGTAGGATCAAGATGTCATATGAACGTGGCAGCTTGTGCCTGTAATCCCAACACTCAAGGCAGCCAGCCTGGGCTACACAAGACCCTGTCTCCCAAGGGAGAGGGAAGATGCCTGTGTGACTAAGTTGATATGTTTCTTATTGGTCATCAAAGGAAAAGCATGAGCCAGGGAGTGATGCTGTACACGTTTTATCTCAGCACTCGGAAGGCAGAGGCAGGCAGATCCTGAGACTTTGAGGCCTGCCTGGTCTACAGAATGAGTTCCAGGACAGCCCAGGGCTGTTACATAGAAAAACCCTTCTCAACCCTCACCCCCCAAAAAAGGAAAGAAAGGAAGAAAAGTATGACCATCATCCTGAAATTCTGTGTCTTGTATGTACCAAAGAAAGAGACAAAGAGAGGCAGAGATTCACAGCAGAGTATAAGTACACATCTGCTCTCTCTGGGGGTCTGTTACTGACTCCTACTGACTCTTAGTGACTGAACCCCAAGCACTCACCTGTTACCCATGTATCTGTGCCAACCCATGCATATGTGGCAGTGTCCCCATCTTTCGGTCTCTACAGAGGGCCTGCATGGCTGTGCAGTAACTGTTTTCCCATCTGTCTGTGTCTCTGATTGACACAGATAAAGCGCTCGCTCTCTCTCTCTCTCTCTCTCTCTCTCCCTTCCCCCCTTCTCCCCCCCCCTCCCGTCTCTATCTCTTTAGGGATGGGAGCGGTGAGGAGTCAACATTAACTTTTATTACTACCTAGTTTGTATTTATTTGTCTGTCCCTTTCAACATTGACATGTGTTGTTTGGAGCACAGAAGTATGCTTAGTTTGTGTTTCTCAGCATTGACATCTGTGTATACTATTTGGCCAGGTGTTTGCAGTGGATGTGTGCAGGTTGTGTGTTTATGTGATCCTCCCGACACTGACTCATGTGTGTGTGTGTGTGTGTGCGTGTGTGGCTGGCTGTCTATGGGACTATGCCTCATTGTCAGTTTCCATGTGTTTACCAGTAAGTCTCAGGGCATTTATGTCACTGTGTTTGGGACAGCATCCGCCCTGTGAATAGTGTATGGCTTAGCCAGTGCTGCATTTCTGTGTGTTTATATTTGTGCTAATAACGGTCCCTGTGTATTTAAGAGTGATTCACTCTTGGGGGAGGGAAGGGTGCTTTGTAAAAGAATTTTGTCAGTTTGTGCGTGTGAGTGCCTCTCTGTCCCTCTCTATCTGAGTCAGGGCGTGTCCTCCTCTCCCTCCATCTCTCTCATTCCCTCAGAAAAGCCAAGGGTGGGAGTGAGCGGACGGGGTGGGGGCGGGGCAGGACATCTGGAAAACACATCTGGAGTCCACAAGCTTTTGTGTGGTGGAGTGCAGGAGGAGAGAGGGGTCCCAGACCCCTCGGCTCATCCCAGTGTCCTCATTTAAGATGCAGCCCCTGGGGCATGAGAATGGGAAATCCCAGGTTATGCCCACCGGGACAGGCCGGAAGTGGAGGGTGGGGGGCGCCCCGGTGACTCAGGCGGGGGCAGGAATGCTGCGGTCGGAACAGAACTGAGCTCCAGAACCAACCCCCCCCTCGCCCCGGGGCTGCTACGGCTGGCCCTTGGCGCCAGCTCCCTCGCGGTGGCCCCCACGCGCCAGCTCCCTCGCGGTGGCCCCCACGTGCCAGGTGGCTGGCGGTGATCCAGCGCTCTCCCCCTCAGGCTGCCCTCCCAGGGCCACGCATCCCTTCCCGGGCCGCGGGGGCTGCGGCACGGGCACCTGACCTTGGCTGGGAACCGCAGCCAGCCCGGGCAGCCGAGGCTAGGGCGCTTCCCTATCCACCCCCTTCCGGCCTTCGAGACGGATTTTCCCCTGTTCCACTCCCTCTTCGGACTGAGAAAAGGAAACTTTGTGTCTGCCGAGCGAGGTCGCCCTCCAACATGCCAGGTGGAGGGGACACTGCGCTCGCACAAACGCAGATGCCACAATGACACAAGTTCATGATGTCCTCAGACTTACACAAGCCACGAAACACAGATGGGCAAACGCACGCACATCCACCAGGCTCAGAACTGCAGCCCCAAAACTAGGGGACTCTGGCAAATGGGTATTGCATATCTGTGTGTTTGCCTGCTTGTGTCTGGGATATTTGTTTTGTACATACTTGTGTGTGTGCACGGTGGTGACGTAGTTGCACACACAGAAAGAGTTGGTACACAAACAAGACAAAACAAGAATCTCAAGACCTTGGCCCACAAACCTTTCCCAGACACACCAAGACATTTATTCAAAAACACATTAACTGGGTTGCTTGCCTGTTACATAATCAGACTCCCTTTTCTTCCTTACACACCCAAACACAGATGCACACACATGTGTTCATTGGCTTGTAAGGCTTGGTTTTGCTGGCCTGCCATTCCAGCTACTCCAGAGGTTGAGACAAAAGGATTATGTGTTCAAAGCCCTCCTGAGCTACAGAGTCTGTTCAAGGCCAGTCTGGGCAACTTAGTGAGATCCTATCTCCAAAGAAAAGTTAAAAGGAAGGCTGGGAATGCAGTTTAGCAGTGAGACATCCTCCTAAGAATCCATCGGGAGGAGCTGGGGTGTGGTTCATCTGTAGAGCATTGGATTAGCATTTGGCCCTGGGCTTGATCAGAAAGATCCATTGGGGCTGGAGAGACTGTTTAGCGGATAATAGCACTTGTTTCTCTTACAGAGGACTTGAGTTCAGTTCCCAGGACCAACATGGGCCAACTCACATCCTCCTGTATGTGTATGTCTAGCTCCTGGGACCCTCATTCCCTCTTCTGGCCTCTAAGGGCATCTGAATACATGTGATACACACACATACACACACACTAAATCTTTTTTTAAAAATTCACTCACAGCTAGGTGGTGGTGGTACACACCTTTGATCCCAGCACTCAGGAGGTAGAGGCAGGTAGAGCTCTGTGAGTTTGAGGCCAGCCTGGTCTACAGAGTGAGTTCCAGGACAGCCAGGACTACACAGAGAAACCCTGTCTTGGAAAAAAGAATTCACCCACTCATTCAACAAACATTTGTGGAGCACCTACTGTGTGCCGGGCCATGCTGCCATCACAAGGTTACTTAAACAGATATTCCCTGCTCTCCTAGAATGGAGGTTCTGAGAGACAGCCCTAAGAAACGTGATTCTTGGGTGACATGTGAGCATGCTGGCAATTAGGAGAGAAAACAAAGCCAAATTCCAAATTCTACAAAGATTAGTCAGGGGCAGAGTAACTTAGGTGTGTCATCTGAACGGATGAAGGAAGGAGGGTGAAGTCACACAGACATCTTTCAGGAAGACTCTGTGTGTGTGTGTGTGTGTGTGTGTGTGTGTGTGAGAGAGAGAGAGAGAGAGAGAGAGAGAGAGAGAGAGAGAGAGAGAGAGCGCAAAAGCAGAGTGGGCCAAGAGAGCAGTTGTAGGAGACAAATTTATCAATGAGCAAACACATTTACACTACCATATACTTCTGTCCTTAAGTGTGTGTTTGTTGTTTGTGTCTCTCCTGTGTGAGTATATGTTGGTATGTTGGTATAAAGACCCCTTGAGCCCTTCCTCTGCAGGGATGGAGATGATCCTTCCACATCGTAGGAAAGAACTCTACCACTGAGCTACATCCAGCATCTTGTTTATTTCATATGTGTATATGCCCGACTGTATGTGTGTGGGCCAGATGTTTGCATGCTGCGATAGCGGAGATCAGAGACGACATTGGATCCCCTGAAATTGGATTCATAGGCAGTTTGTGAGATGCCACGCAGGTGCTGTGAACCAAACCCAGGTCCTCTGCAAGAGCAGTAAGTGCTCTTAACTGCTGAGCCATCTCCCCAGTCCCTTCCAGGATCCTTTTTGTTAGATTTCAAGCCTGGGACAAATGGCTGAGAAGCCTACTTAACATATCAAAATGGACCCCACCTCCAGCTTCTCCCAACATCCCTCAGTCCATATACAAGGCCCTCCTAGCCGGCATACTCCACCCGCTACCCTAAACTTCTCCAGCCCAAGAGGCTGGGCTGCTTCTCCCTATGTAACACAACCATTTTAGTTACCTGGTCTTTTGTCCCTTTGGGGCTCCTGGCTGCTGTACCTCATGTCCCGTCTCTCCTCTCCCTGTCCCTCCCCTTCTGCCCACAGGGCCCAGGTCAGTCTTTCCACGTCCACTCTGGACTCTCCCAGATGCCCCTGCCTCAGGCTATGCTCTCCCACAGGTCTATGATAAACTCTCTCTTCCCCCATACCAAGGAGCACTCATCTTTCTTTTCCTTTTTATTTCTTTTACACATTCACTTGTTACCGGGTTAAGTTTGAGACAAGAATCTTGAACTCACTCCACCAGGCAGGCTTGAACTTGAGATCCCCCTGCCTCCACCTGCCCATTATCTGGTATGACAGGTGTGTACTGTCTGGCTCTGAAGATATGAGCACTTCATGAGTCTGAGTCTGTGTGTGTGTGTGTGTGTGTGTGTGTGTGTGTGTGCATATGTATGTGAGCATGTGTGTTTCTGTGTGCATCTATGTGTGTGTGTGACTATGTGACAAGGTGTGGGAGTCCTGCGCCTTGTGACACTAAGCTTTCTCCTATTCCTCCCTAGGCCTGAACAAGTCGTCTTCTTTCTCATGTGAAGCTCACAATGCCAAGGGAGTCACCACTTCCCGCACAGCCACCATCACAGGTGACAGCAGCAGGGTTCAGGGTTCTTGGTGACAGGGGTTCGGGAGGCTGGACCAGAGGTCAGGGGAGAAGGCTGAGGGAAGGTGGAGGGCTCTGGGGAAAGGTTCTTAAGACTCAGCCCTCCCTCATCTGTCCACAGTGCTCCCCCAGAGGCCTCACCATCTCCACGTGGTTTCCAGACATCCCACAGAGCTAGAGGTAGCTTGGACCCCTGGCCTGAGTGGTATCTATCCACTCACCCACTGCAACCTGCAGGTGAGACCCTCTGACTCTGATCACTTCTGTCTCAGCCCTCCTTCCGTCCACACCCGCAAGCCTACACCATCTTCCCTGTGGAAAACCAGCCTTTCCACACCAGTTAATCCAAGAGTCACCCACTTCACCTGTTGGCTGTGTGAATTTCAGTAAACCCCCAAAGACCATTCTGGGCCTCAGTTCTCCCATCTATAAGATGGGCATGATGTTAATTTTTATGAGGTAGGAGTGAGGATTCAGTAAATGAAGGACAGTAACTAACTTAAAACAGTGTCTGGGGATGTATTGTGGGCTATTAGATGGTTTTATTGTTTTTAGTATTAGTAATATCGACTGTAGCCGGATTGGGAACTCTCAGTCATCAGGACTTGTAGCTGTTCCTGTCACAACCCTGTGCTTACTACTGTCTTCACTGTGACCGCTCTGGATTGTCCCTGTCTAGAGTAGGTCTTTCCCACTCTGGCATTTGGGCTCTCTAAGGACAGTGCTTTTAGTCACAAAGTCACCTCAATGTTATATAGCGTAGGTCAGGCAGATAAGGCTATCTGGTGGAACATATAACAGCACAGTTACAATGGTACAGGCCTGTACTGCCAGCATTTGGGAGCAAGAGGATGGAGAGTTCAAAGCTACCCTGGGAAAAAATAACAAGACTGTCTTAAAACAGAAGACTTAAAAAGCTGAAAGTATGGCTCAGTGGTAGAGCCCCTGCCTAGAATCCCCCAGTGAGGGGCTGGGGGCGTGGCTCAGTGGTAGAGCCCCTGCCTAGAATCCCCCAGTGAGGGGCTGGGGGCGTGGCTCAGTGGTAGAGCCCCTGCCTAGACTCCCCCAGTGAGGAGCTGGAGGCGTGACTTGAGGTAGAGCCCAGAAATAGAATTGACCAGGGAGGGGCTGTTCCCTTTCAAGGTATGAAACTGAGAGATCCTGAAAGGAAAGTGGCCAGCACCCCTACCCTCACCCCAGTCCCTAGCCAGAAGAACAAACTGAGGTTCAATCCTGGCGTCTCACCAACTTGAAAGATCTCAAATGTCGGGTCAAGCCACAGCTGCCCTCCTACCCACATCCATGCAGTGTCCAAAGAAAAGCAGAAGTGTGGGTTCTTCCTTCTCCAGGTCTCACTTCCTGCTGCCCACAGGCTCTGGCTGGACAGTTCCTGAGGGAGGGTCATGGCTGTCCCAGGGAAAGGAGAAGTAGGAGTAAGTGTGAGCCCACTGTCTGCACCCATCTCCCCTTTGTCCTGCCAGAGGTTCCTCTTCCTGTATGTCACTGTAGGTCAGAGAGCAGACTTGTCCCCTCCTGCTATCCATCACTGACCTGCCTCCTCCTCGGAGCTTGTAGGGCCAGTGTCACCCTCTTTGGGGACCATGTTACTTTGGGAAAGCTACTGAATGTCTGGCCTCCCCATCTGTAAAACTGGAATGAGAAAAAGAATTGAGCTTCTAAGTGGACGAGAGAGATCTATGTGTTTATCTGGGTACAGGCTTAACGAGGGACTTAGCATACAGTAAGCACTTGAACAATAGTGACTTTTAGGGCTGAAATATAGTTCACTGGTAGAATATGTGCTCACCATTGATGAGATCTTTGGGTTCATCCCTAGTCGTGCCAAGAAGGGGGCTTAGGGATATATCTCAGTTGGTACAGAGTTTACCATGCAAGCATGAGAACCTGAGTTTGAACCCCAGAAGCTACAGAAAAGAGCTGAGCAGAGGAGATAGTAGAACACATGGAATCCTAGTGCCGGGGCAGACAGAGATGATGAATCCCTGGGATTCACTGGCTGGCCAGTCTAGCAGACCACTGAGTCCCAGGACCTATGGACAGACCCTGTCTCAAAAAACAAGGTGGAGGCCAACGAGGAAGCTCACCAGGTAAAAGTGTTTGCAGCCAAACTCGATGATCTGAATTCAATTCCCAGGACCCAAATAGTAGGAGAAAACTGACTCACATAAGTTGTCCTATCACACACAACAACAACAACAACAACAACAAGCAGACATAGTAGAACATGCCCTTAATCTCAGCACTGGGGAGGCAGAGGCAGGTGTATATCTAGAGTTGAAGGCCAGATTGGTCTATGTAACAAGTCTAAGTCAGCCAGGGATACATAGTATTACTGTCTCAGAAAGAAAGAAGTCAGGGAGGGAACAAGTTGATATTATTGTAAACACACTAACCTACATATCATTAAACTTTGACAGTGACAAGTAGAGTCCCCTTGTCACTCAATGGTGGGCAAGATTTGGGCTTTTTCTCTTTTTAATTTTTTTTTTTCAAGACAGGATCTTACTATGTTGCCCAGTCTGTCCTTAAACTGGTGATCCTCCTGCCTTATAGAGAGCTGGATCATAGTTGTATGTCACCACAGCAGCTGCACAACTGCATTTAATGTTTTTAGTTGGTTGGTTGGTTGGTTGGGTCCTTGAGTTGTTGCTTTGAGGGTTTTGCTTGTGGGTGTTTGTGTGATACTGAGGATCCAGAGTGTGCTCTGTACCACTGAACCACTCCTCCAGTTTGTACATTTAATCATCCAACAACCTTTCAAGGCATCTCTGGTCCTCTAAATGAGGAAACGGAGGATCAGAAAGTGGGTGGGGTGGGGGACGTCTTTCCAAAGGTGGCTTAGCCTTACCAGAGGTGGCTTTTGCAAGTGTGGCCATAGGATTTCTTTGCTTTGCAAATCTGGATGCCCATTGTTGTCCTGTTGTGGAACTACAACACACAGAGTTTCGCGCGCGCGCACATGCACACACACACACACAGACCCATACATCCTTGCAAAGCTGTATAGTCACATTGGGATCAAGAATAGTGTAACTGCCCTCTGGTCCTCCTATCTTTCCCCACCTTCAGGCTGTGCTGTCAGACGATGGGGTGGGTGTCTGGCTGGGAGAGGCAGATCCTCCAGAAGAGCCCCTCACGTTGCAAGTATCAGTGCCCCCCCACCAGCTTCGGCTGGAAAAGCTCCTTCCTCATACCCCATATCACATCCGGGTATCCTGCACCAGCAGCCAGGGCCCCTCACCTTGGACCCACTGGCTTCCTGTGGAGACCACGGAGGGAGGTAAGAAAGTCTTGGGGTGAAGATACCATTGGGCTTTGCTTTTATTGCTCCCACCCTGAACTCTCCTCTCACCCCTTTCCCCCCACAATGGCCTTAGTCTCCTTGTCCAGTCCCTGACCCTTGAGCTCTGCCCACTGGCCTCTCTCCAGATCTCTCCCTGTGCTTCCGCTCATGGAAGGCCTGCACGAATTGCCCACGCGTGTGTTCTTTCCAACTGCCCCACTTCCTGGGAACAGGGGAGGGGGTCAGGAAGAGGTAGGGGTACCAGCTTCCCTCTTCCATGTCCTCCAGTGCCCTTGGGTCCCCCTGAGAACGTTAGCGCCATGCGGAATGGGAGCCAGGCCCTCGTGCGTTGGCAGGAGCCAAAGTTGCCCCTGCAGGGCACCCTGTTAGGGTACCGGCTGGCATATCGAGGCCAGGACACCCCCGAGGTGGGTGCTGCTGGCTGGGTTAGGGTGGGATTGTTGTGGGAAGTGGGAGATGGGGAAGAGATGACAAAGTAGACACAGGCAATTACGGAAATCGGGTACTACTATACCATGCCCGCTAAGGCGCATTCCGGAAATCCTAAATGGGTCCACGAAGAAGGGGCTAAGGAATGTCTGTCTGTGAGCATTGTAAAAGCACCTCATTGGGCTTGGGTATTGTAACTTTTACAGCATCTTAGGGACGAGGCACGTCCTAATTTATACAGATGTTTTATCTGGGCTAGCAGTGCCCCAAGGTGGAGAGAGGGACGGGAAGTTAGAAGGGATTGGCTGAGAGCGAAAAGATGAGAATTCAGTTCTTCAACAAATGCTGAGCTGTGCCTGGTGCCAAGTACTCTTCTGGGAAGCTGAGGATGTAGCCAGAGATGAGGCAGAGTCGCTGCCCTGTACAGCTGATGTTCCAGAGTGCGTGGGGCTAGAGATGTGGACATGAAGGGAGAGGATGAACCAGGGTTGAGTCTTAGGAGTTCTGGATGTCGGTGTCCCTCCTGATGTCGCCTCTGGACTTCCTAGGTACTTATGGACATAGGGTTAACTCAAGAGGTGACCTTGGAACTGCGGGGGGACAGGCCCGTGGCTAACCTGACTGTGTCTGTGGCAGCCTATACCTCGGCTGGGGATGGGCCCTGGAGCCTTCCTGTGCCCCTAGAGCCCTGGCGCCCAGGTAACTCTAAAGCCATACCCAGCCCCCTCCAAGCTGCCCCGAGGATGGTCTCTTCCTGGCACCCTTGACTTGTTCCCCATGCCTCTGAGTGTTCCCCCAGCTTAGATTCTGTTGCTACCCTGAGCCTGACACAGAGCCTCCCCTCAGTCCGCTCACTTGCGTCATGTCAGTCTTGTCCTCTCTGAGCATGTCTCTCCTCTGTCCTTTCTCCTCACAGGGCAAGGACAGCCACTCCACCATCTGGGTAAGGGCTTTTGTGCCCCCTTTCTCTGCCTTCCCTCAACATGCAGCAAGGGCCTCGTCACCACACATGTACCTTCTACACATCCCTGTCACACATCCCAAACATACCGCTCTGACCCTTCACTTCTTCGGTTTGTGTGGTCCTTGAGAGAGGTGCCTAGAATGGCCCAGTGAATGGTATGGGAGAGTGGATAGATTCAGAGACAGATGGGTATGTAAGAAGTGAATTAATATACACTGGGTGGATGGAAAGATTAAAGGATGGATGCATGAATGGATAAGTATACGGAGACTGGGTTGACAGAGACATCTTACTGGATAGACGTATGCGTGGGGAAAAGAAGACTGAAGGATAGATAGCCAGGCATAGCAGTACGTGTGTTTGATCCCAGCACTTAGGAGACAGGGGCAGGTGGACCCCTCTAAGTTTGAGGCCAGCTTGGGCTATGTAGCGAGTTCTAGGGAGGGGGAAGGAGGAGGGAAAGATGGAAGAAAGGAAGGAAAGGGGGAAGAGGCAAGAAGAGAGGTTCTCTCTTAAATATTCCTTCAGCAATCCTCAAACCTTCTTCCTACTTCCATGGCTCCCTCCCAGCACTGTAGAGCCACCACTTAGAACCCAGCTTACCTCTTTAAATGCTCTCTACATTCCTCCTCCTGCATCCTCATCAGCCCTCCTCTCGTGCCCCATGACAGCACTTCTTTCCACACCCATGCCTGGCGCACACTCAACTTCTTGTTTTTTGACAGTGGGATTCACTATGTAGCCCCCTAGCTGGCCTGGAACTTTCCAGGCTGGCGTGTAACCCACAGAGATCTACCTGCCTCTGCCTCCTGAATACTGGGCTTCAAGGTGTGTGCCAGCACGCACAGCTATACCTAACATCTGTATGCATCCTCTGTGTGTGCCTTATCTCCACCCCATGCAACCCAATTGTAACTACTGAAAAATGTTCAGTCCACAACTGTATAACTTACATCTGCTTGTCCAGGAATCAGGAACTTTACTCTCCTTACCCTAAATGACCTTACCCCACAGTCTTACTATCTTTCTTTTTCTATGTTTATGTCTCCCTCTGTCCTCCTCTTCCTCCTCCTCCTCTTCCTCCTCCTAGAGAGAGACAGACACACACACACACAAAGGCACACATAGAGACCCACAGAGACACAAAGACACACAGACACATACACACATACACATGCCTAGACAGACACACACAAACACAGTCAGACACACAGATACACACACAGAGAGACACATACACACACACACACACACACACACACGGACATATGCCTAGACAGATACACGCACACAGACGCACACAGAGAGACACACATAGACACACAGAGAAACACACACAGAAAGACAGAGAAAGACACACAGAGAGAGACAGACACAGACACACACAGAGACACACAGAGAGAGACACACAGAGAGACATACACAAACACACACAGAGAAACACACACAGAGAAACACACACAGAGAGAGACATACACAGACTCACACAGAGACACACACAGACACACAGAGAGAGACACACAGAGAGACATACACAAACACACACACAGACACACATAGAGACACATACACCCGGTGTGTGTACTCCTGGTACTCTTAGCACAAGCACATGACCAACCATCCTCCAGTCCCTCCCTGCTCAACACCTGTCCCTTCCCCAGACGTCCCTGTGCCCTTCCTGTGCCCCTCACTTGCCAGCCCATGTTTAGTTCACGTATTTTGCATGTTCACTGCACACTCTTCTCATGCTCAGTCATGTCTCTAAAGACCACTGCTTACAGCCTGCCGCGGTTGGCGCAACCCCAGCACGTGGGAAGCCGCCCTGAGCTACAACAAACCTTGACAAGAGAGAGAGATGTAGCCCAGCTGGTAGAGAGTGCTTGCCTGGCATGCACGAGGCCCTGGTCCCTTCTCCAGCTCTCCATAAGCCAGTCATGATGATGCACCCCTGTAATCCGAGCACTCGGGAGGTGGAAGCAGGAGGACCAGAGGTTCAAAAGTCAACTTGGCTGCATACTAAGTCTGAGTCTAGCCTGGGGTTTATTTGACCCTCCTCAAAACAAAACAAAACAAAACAAAACAAAAAACTAGACATTTCTCCTTTGTCTTGTGCCCCAAGCTCCTCCAATGGCCACCTCGTTCTTTACACACACACACACACAAACACACACACACACACCTTCTGTATGTGTATTTGTCTCTCATTCCTCGCTTCTCTGAGCACTCCTAAGATATCCCTTACTTCTTTGTTCCCCAGCCTTGTGCTATGTGCATCTTCTGCACTGTGCAGATTCTCTCCCTCACTCACTGGTCTTTCCACACCCAGGTCACCTCTTTGCACAGTCATCCTGCCACTGTCTCCCCTGAACTAGTTCAGACTCTCTCCCACACCCGTCTATCCCCTCCCCGCATGCTCATGCCCCCTGTATACACACCTCACCTTCCCTTTCCACCCAGGTCACACTCCTGCTTCCCTCCCATGTCACTCCCACTTGGGCCCCAGGGAATTGGATCCAGGGGCCTTAGCTGTGATCTGTCCCCCATACCCTCTGACAGTGAGCGAACCCCCACCTCTCGCCTTCTCGTGGCCTTGGTGGTATGTACTCCTGGGAGCACTTGTGGCCGCTGCCTGTGTCCTCATCTTGGCCCTGTTCCTTGTCCATCGGAGGAAAAAGGAGACTCGATATGGGTGAGTTAAGAACTCCATTGAGGAGACTGAAGTCATGGAGGACCAATGCGGAGACTGTGTGTGTGGGGGGTGGGGGTGGGGGTGAATGGGGATGAGGAGACCTGAAGAGAAGATGGAAGGCAGGGAGTGGTGATTCACAATGTGTTTAGCATACACTAAAGGGGAGAGCAGCACAAGCTGGGAATGCACTGGTGCTTTGCTTTAGCGCCCACTAGAAGGACAGGGTTCCCCGTGATTCTATTCATCCCTCCCCTTCTCCCTTCTCTCCCTAGGGAGGTGTTCGAGCCAACCGTGGAAAGAGGCGAACTGGTAGTCAGGTACCGTGTCAGAAAGTCTTACAGTCGCCGGACCACCGAAGCCACCTGTAAGTGAACTCCACCCAGAGAACTGGGCCCCTGTAGACGGTCTGAGCATCTGTAGAAGCATGAGACAAAATTTCGGAAGGTCTTCAGAACACAAGGATGTTGGAGCCTCAGGCCCTAAGCACTGTGAGGCTTGGACCACACCCACAGCTTTAGAACAGTAGAAGATAGGGTGTTGTGTATTCTCAGTGCTGGGACAAAAGACAGCTTCAAGAAGAAGGGTTAATTTTGGCTCAGCATTTGAGGGCTGGACTAGTCCAGCCTGATGAAGAAAAGCTCTGTTAGGTGGCTGGTCAATTCCTATCTGCAGTCAGGAAGCCCAGGAAGATGAACACTTGGCCCAGCTTGATTTCTCCTGTCTGTTCAGTCCAGAATCCTAGACCATGGAATGGTGCAGACCACAGTTAAGGTGGGTCTTCCCACCTCAGTTCCTAATTCAGAAACTTCCTCCAAGACATGCACAGGGGCATGTTGCCTATGCAATTCTAGATAGTGTCAGGTCGACATTAACCATAACCAATACGGATGTGGAGGTTTGTTAGTTTGTTTTGAGACCAAGCCCTGGCTGGAATGAACATCTCTTGCCTCCATTTTCCAAGTGCAGGACCTGTAGACAGAAAGCTCCACACCTGGCCCTGCTTCTCTTGATCTACCCCTCCCTCCAACCCCCTCGCTCTCAAGTGCAATATTACTCTGTAACCAATGCTAGCTACAAACTTGCAACATTTCTGTCTCCGCCTCCGGAGTGCTGGCTAGGATAATTTGAATCCCAGACACACTAAATCTTAGGAACACCCAATCTAAGAGCCAGAAGATCTTGGGATAATGTTTTATGGTGATAACGGTGAAAAAGATGATGATGGATGATACTGACAGGCAATCATGATGATATGGACAATGACAATGGTGTGAAAGTCCCCCCCCCACACACACCCACACACACAAGCGCTAAGCATTCTATACACATCAACTCATTTGATCCTCACAACCCAAAGACATGAGCTCTGTTATAACCCTGCCTTCAAAGATGAGGGAGCCTTAGCAGAGAGTAACTAGGCAACTTGCTTAATGCCACACAGCTTGTAAGATGGATAAGTGAGATTTTTTTTCTTTTTTCTTTTTTTCTTTTTTTTTTTTTTTTGGTTTTTCGAGACAGGGTTTCTCTGTATAGCCCAGGCTGTCCTGGAACTCACTCTGTAGACCAGGCTAGCCTCGAACTCAGAAATCCGCCTGCCTCTGCCTCCCAAGTGCTGGGATTAAATAGGCGTGCACCACCACTGCCCGGCAACCCTTGATTTCTTAAGGCATTGCCTCATTAGGTACTAGCCTTGAACTCTATCTCCGCCTGCCTCAAATTCCCATGTTCTGGGATTACTTGAGTGTGCCACCATATACAACTTGAAGTCAGTACTCCTAATGGCCACACTTGGAAGTGGCCTTTTGAAATTATAGAACGTTAGAAACAACCAAATTCTAGATTCAATCTTAGTCTGAAAAATAATATGGTCAGCGCTCTAGGCTCTCGGTTTGAAAATCATAGTGTCTTAGAACTGTAGACCCATAAGACAACAGTCACCAAAGGTCCCAGCTGAGGTCATCCTCAGAGGCCACCACCCCCGAAAGCTCCTCAGTTTCCAGCTGGGGAAACTGAAACCCAGAGAGCAAAAGAACAGATCTAAGTCTAGATCTAGCACATAGCACAGACTGCCAGTGTCCCCGGGGATGCTGGGAAGGGCTGGGAAAGACATTTATTTAAGAAGAGAAGGAAAAAGTAGTTGGATGGCTGCAGTGCTTTGACGAAATAATACAAAGCCACAGTTCTTGCAGCATGAGCCTGGTCCCAAGAGGTTCTGGAGAGCTAGGCTGGAGATCTATGAGGTCAAAATGATTTTCACAGTGGTACCAAGATGTTGCTTGCTCGCTCACACCCCACTCTTCACAAATTTCTAAGGGACTTTCCCTCAAGCTCCCTGATATGTGATGTCACCAACAATCTGTGGTTGAAAGAACATATGCTTGTATGTTATTGTGTTTTTAAGAGCTATCGTCAGGAGCTCGAGAAATAGATAGCTCAGTGGTTAAGAGCATTTGCTGTCTATCCAGAGGTCCTGTGTTCGATTCCCAGCACCCACATGGTGACTCACAACCATCAATAACGACTGTGCCAGGATATCTGATGTTATCTTCTGGCCTCCATGGGTTCTGCATGCACACAGTGCACAGCTATGCATGTAGGCAAAAACTCATACATACATATATACATATAAGCACATTTTAAATAATAAAAGAAGATGTTATCTTAAACTAGATGGGGTAGCAGATCATGGCGACTAAAGCAAAAAGACTGAAAGTTTAAGACTTGCCTGGGTTAAACAGAGTTAAGGCCAGCCTGTGTAACTTAGTGAGACTGTCCCAAAAGAAAAGGTAAAAGAGGTCTGGGGATATAGTCCAATGCTCAGTGATAGAACACTTGTCTAGATACCCCAGTGAGGGGCTGGGAATATGGCTAGGTTAGGCTGCATATTAAGACTGTTTTTTTTTTTTTAAGCTGAATTGAATGCAGTGACGTCTGTGGTACCTAATAATATTCTTATAGGAAGATTATGGATTTGTTTTGGTGGTGATACTAGCTTTTGTGTGAGATAAGATTTCAGTATGTACCCCCCCCCATTCATTATGTAGACCAGGCTTGTCTTAAACTCACAGAGATATGCCTGCCTCCTCTGTTTTCCGAGTGCTAAATATATATATATCGACCCCCTTAACATAGCCCAGAGCGGCCTCGAGCTTGCAGCAATCTGCCTGGTTTTCCTTCCTAGGGAAGGATTAGAGGAATGTGGTACCATGCCCAACCTTACTTATTTAGTAATTACGTGATTATGATACTTACGGGGTACAGTTTCTGAAATACAAGGGGGATAATTAGATACTTGTATATAGTGTGCAATTATCAAGTCTGGGTGATTAGCTAATTAGGCTTTCCCTCTCCTTTAAACACTTATAGTTTCTTTGTGCTGGTAAACTTCAGACTCTGAAGAACTATGTTTAACAACTGGTGCAGAGGGCACTGACCAATTAGGGTACCCACGACAGCAAGATTGAGGCCAGGTTTTAAGCTTGTAGTTGCTCCTATGGAGCAGACTGAGGAGCTGGGATGGATTGAGTGCTCTGGACACAATTCCGTGATTCAACAGTGGGTATTACAGAGAAACTCTGTCTCGAAAAAACAAACAACAACAACAACAACAAAAAAAAACAGTGGGTATGTCCTTCTCGATACACATTACCTGAACATCAACCCTGCCACACGGCTCTGTCTGCCTCATTTCAGTGAACAGTCTGGGCATCAGCGAAGAGCTGAAGGAGAAACTACGGGACGTCATGGTAGATCGGCATAAGGTGGCCTTGGGGAAGACCCTAGGAGAAGGTGAGTCTCTCCACCACACGTACACGCATGTGCACAGGAGTATGCACACACATGCGCACACATGCACACATAGGTGCACGCACGCATGCACGCACTCGAGAGAACTCGCACACAAGCACATGACCCATCAAAATACCAAGATTCCTCTCTCCCCAGTTCTCAGCCAACTGCAGAAAATACTGTCCCCATAGGGGCAATATTTGATCTGAGATCAATGGCTTTCTTTTTCCTGCCACAGGAGAATTTGGTGCTGTGATGGAGGGCCAGCTCAACCAGGATGACTCCATCCTCAAGGTCGCTGTGAAGACCATGAAAAGTAAGTACATGGACGCGTGCAAGCACACGTGCAGCAGCCCCAGTCCCTAACCAAAGCATCTTCCCTGGGCTCCGGAAAGTACCAGTGTTCCCAGTGAGAAAAGCGTGTGCCAGACACTTGAATAGAAGGAACTGAATTCAGGGACATTGCTACCACATGGAATGAAGGTTGGGGTAGCATAATAATAACCAAGACATCAAAACAAACAGATTAGCAACAACAGGAAGTCACTTCCACCTCTAGGCTGAAGGGCAAAGGGAGGAAGCTGTAGCCAGAGCCCATAGCTGCGGAGTAGTTGAGAACACAGAATCAAGGGTTTTCCAAGGGGGAGCGAGAAGCCTAATTTACATGCAACAGCTTCAAGGCAACCGGAAGTGGAAAGGGTAAGATACCCTGGCTTCGCTTTCACCTGCCAGCCTCCCACCAGTGTCTGCTACTGACAGACAGGAAAGGAAACTTGGAGGCGACTTTTTTAAGGAGGGCAGGACAGAATGAGGCCCACTCGGACACTCCATTTATCAGCTCTGACTCTGCCTCTCCAAGTCTTCCTTTCTTCCTTGGAAAGATCATCCATGATGTCACTATTTCTTAGGGCTGTTATGAAACAAAGCACTAAATGCCAGTGGTGGCATATAATACATACTGTTAATGTATGTGACTATCTCACCAGAGAGGGTAAAGGCCCGTCAATAGTCAAACAGCACAAGCAATCAAGGGGAAGTCCTTCTCCTACAGGGAAGAAAAGCCTAGAGTGGTCAGGCTAGGGCAGGCGGCCAGGAGAAATGACGTTTTACGAATATAGAGTTTTAGGGGTTGAGCTTTGGAGCCATCAGTGCATTTGCATGTGCATTACTAAGCATCTCCTGTGTACTAGATTAAGCTGGTGTGTGTGTGTGTGTGTGTGTGTGTGTGTGTGTATGTGGGGGTGGGGGGGTCAAAGGTTGGTACTAGAGACCCCAGAGCCTTGCACATGTCAGACAAATACTCTACCTCTGAGTACTTTCTACTGCTTTTTATTTTTTTCATTTTAAGAGAACATCTCATGATGTGTCTAAGACTGGCTTCCGACTCATAATCTTCCTTCCTCTGCTGACTTGACAAATATACATCACCATGCCCACATCCTTTTCTCTCACGTTGGCTAATAAGGTGACATAAGACTGTAACCTCAACATTTGAGAGGTTGAAGCAGAAGCATCATGAATTCTAAGCCAGGCTGGGCTTGTTCTACAGACTGAGACTTTGTTTCAAAAACAAACAAGTGGCTCAGTGGTTGAGCCCCTGCCTAGAATCCCCCAGTGAGGGGCTGGGGGCGTGGCTCAGTGATAGAGCCCCTGCCTAGAATCCCCCAGTGAGGGGCTGGGGGCGTGGCTCAGTGGTAGAGCCCCTGCCTAGAATCCCCCAGTGAGGGGCTGGGGGCGTGGCTCAGTAGTAGAATGTCTTGCTAGATTTTTCCATGGAGTGACTGAGAACATGGCTCACCAATAGAGCACTTACCTAAACTCTCCCAGTGAGGGGACTGCACCGCATTTGCAAGACTTTGGGCTCAATCTAGCACCATGTACACTCTACCTATTGAGGATAAAATAACAATGTAAGTAAAACAGTGAGTACACCGTCTGAAGATCCAGTAATAACATTTTATGACGTTGAGTGATGATGATGATGATGATGACAGACTGGAGGAGGAAGAGGAAAGAAGAAATCCTTTCCTTCCTCCATCTTCCTCCTCCCTTCCCGCCCTTGTCAATCACCTCCCTTTCTCCCCTAAGTTGCCATCTGCACAAGATCAGAGCTGGAGGATTTCCTGAGTGAAGCTGTCTGCATGAAGGAATTTGACCACCCCAACGTCATGAGGCTCATTGGTGAGGGAGGGGCATGTTCTCCCAGGCCCAGCCCAGAGCGCAGAAAGATCAAACTTCCTGGCTCCCTACCCCCTTCTCCTTCAGGATCAGCAAGCTCCCCTTCTTTTCCTCCCTCAACTTGGAATGTGATCTCTGACCCAGAAATAGCTGAGGGTCCCCAGGAGGGCTCCAGAAACATCCCTGGGAAATGGCCTCTCTGAAGTCTTATTCTTACGGTCCACCTCCCAAACAATGTGGAGATTAGATTTGAGGGGGTGGGAAAGGGGGAGGCTGAGTCTGTCTGGGAGTGGAGTTGGGGGTCCCCTCTTCTGCCTAGCCTCACAGATCTTCCTGGGGATGGGGGGCTCAGGCGTCTGTTTCCAGGGTTCTGACCGAGAGGGTTTCCCAGAACCTGTGGTCATCTTGCCTTTCATGAAACACGGAGACCTACACAGTTTCCTCCTGTACTCCCGGCTCGGGGACCAGCCAGTGGTGAGGGGCATTTCCTCTTCCGGTCCATGAGTATTCACTCAACACTTAACAGCCAGGCAGGCACTGAGAAGGAAGGCTACGGCTGACCTCGAGCTTGCCCTCGTGGGCCCTGTGTTTGCAGGGGTGGACGAGGCAATAAATAAGTTAACAGAAAAAAAGCGAGAGCAGTAAGTGCATGAAGGAGATGCAGATGGAGGGAAGAACGATAAGGCCGCCTCGGGATTAATGTGGGTGGAGGGAAGGCCTGACTGGGGGTGACCTTGAAGGAGACACAGACTGAGGAGATGCAAGCCGGAAATAAATTCCTAACAGAGGCTTAGCATGGACCAGGGTCTGAAACCCAAGAGGGGGGTCCCTGGCTCAGGTGGGTATCTAAGGCTAGAGTAATACCCCAATCAGAGAAGAGTAGGTTTTCTAGGACCCTGTAGCTATAGAAAGGGATGATGTTCTCAAAGCCATGGAAAACCAGGAGATCCAGACACACACAGGGAGGGAAGGAGACCCTTTTTTGACTCTGACCACTTCTTCTTCTTCTGGTCTTCGCTCTCCAGTTCCTGCCCACTCAGATGCTGGTGAAGTTCATGGCCGACATTGCTAGTGGTATGGAGTACCTGAGTACCAAGAGATTCATACACCGAGACCTGGCTGCCAGGAACTGCATGTGAGTGCCAAGCCCGCTGAAAGCCCCTCCTTCCTCAAAGAGCTTCCTCCCCCCCCCCCCCCCAAGGATGAAGGGGAACCGGGAGCCTTCAGGGGGCGTTGGACCTCCAGACAAGATTAGAAAGGTGTGGCAGTCACCTTTTTGTGGCTGTGACAAAATATCCAGGGAAACAAGTGGAAAGGGAAAGATTGGCTTGGGCTCAGGGTTTCAGAGATTCCAGACCACAGTCACCTGGCCCCATCACGGTGGGCTCCTGGGAAGGTACGGAATCATGACCTACAGGGCGGAGCGGGGTACCACTGCTTACCTCGTGGGAGCTGGAAAGCAGAGAGAGGCATAACATAACCCATCAGAGGAGCCTCCCCAGCACCCTACTTCCTCCGGCTAGACCCAGTTTCCTACTGACTGTATCTCACTGGGCATCACCTCCTGGGGATTAAGCCTTCAGGGGACTGTCACCCTTTGTGGGGTGACACTTCATATCCAAATCACAAGAGAAGACCAGCAAGGAGCTGCTTGGGAAGGCTTTCTGGAGAAGCCCTACCCTGGGGTCTTTATTGTTGTTTATTTGGATGTAGCCTAGACTATCCTGAAACTGGCAATGTAGACCAAGCTGGCCTTATACTCACAGAGATCCTCCTGCCTCTGTCTCCCAAGTGCTGGGGTAAAAGGTATGCATCACCACACCTGGTATTTCTTGGCGTTTTTAAAAGATATAGGTGCTGTCGATATAGATGTGCTTCTGTAATTATCTATGCCTGTCCTGGTCTACACACACACACACACACACACACACACATGCACACACACACTGTGTGAGGTTTTGTTTGGTTTCTTTGTTGTTGTTTTTTTTCTCCTTTGTTTTCTTTGTCTGGTTTGGCTTGACTTTTTTAAAGATTTATTTTTATTTTATATGTATGGGTGCTTTGACTACATGTATGCATTATTTGTGAACAGTGCCGAGGAGGCCAAAAGAGAGCACCAGAGTTAAAGACAGCTGTGCGCCGCTGTGTGAGTGCTGGGAATCAAACCCGGGTCCTCTCAAGAACAAGTGCTCTTAGCTACTGAGCCATCCCTGCAGCCTCCAAAGTTTACTTTTTTGAGACAGGGTCTCTCATAGAGCCCAGGCTGGCATTGAACTTACTATGTAGTGAAAGATGACCTTCAACTCCCGACCCTTCTTTTTCTGCCTCCCAAATCCTGATATTACAGGTACACACCATCATTCCTGGCTGTTTGTCTGTTTGTTTCCAAGTTCATGTCCCGGAACATCAGTTCACAATGGCCTGTGTTACTCTATCCCCAAGGAGATCCTACACTTCAGATCACCATGGGTACTCACACTCGCATGCATGGACCCACAGACAGGCACACATGTACACATCATTGAAATAATAAACATTTTTTAGGGCTGGAGAGATGGCTCAATGGTTAAGAGCACTGATTGCTCTTCCAAAGGTCCTGAGTTCAATTCCCAGCAACCACATGGTGGCTCACAACCATCTGTAATGGGATCCAATGCCCTCTTCTGGTGTGTCTGAAGACAGCTACAGTGTACTCATCATATACATAAAATAAATAAGTAAAATCTTTAAAAAAAAATAAAAATAGATATTTTTTAAATCCAAAAAAAAAAAAAAAAAAAACAGAACAGGGGCTCTGGAGTTTCGAAAAGATCTTAAGACCGATAAAAAGCCAAAGCCAAGAAAGCTTCTAGAAGCCCTTTTGTCCAGACTCGTTTTAGCAGGAACGAGAAATAAAGCACTTCTCTCTGGGACTGGGGAAAGGGTTTAGGGGCCAGATCCCCACTCTTAGCAAGACTGTGTGGTCAGGCAGGAGGTGGAGGTGCATCCAAGATCCAGCAGGCTTCCTGGTAGAGGTGACCCCTGTCCTGACCTTCCTGCTTTCCCCAATCTGGGCAGGCTGAATGAGAACATGTCCGTGTGTGTGGCAGACTTCGGGCTCTCCAAGAAGATCTACAACGGGGATTACTACCGCCAAGGGCGCATTGCCAAGATGCCAGTCAAGTGGATTGCTATCGAGAGTTTGGCAGATCGAGTCTACACCAGCAAGAGCGACGTGGTATGTGTGCCCTGGCCAGGAGTAGGTAATCATTGCTAGCATGGGGGTGCGTGACAAGACCTGAGAAGCTTCAGGGATAACAGGGACCTGTGGGCATCTTTGCAAAGATGTCTGTGAGGCCAGGACATGTTTGGAGAATGAATGAATAACATGTGTGCACAGTTAGGACGTAAGTAGGCTCAGTGCCACCTGGTGGCAGTGTAGGTACTTTAGGTCAGGAAGCAGTGGTGACCAAGTGTGCCATAGGATGTGTACAACAATGTGGGTGTGAGGAGTGACAAGTGACATCATGCAGATGTGTACATGGGGTTGTGCATGCCTCTGCATCCTCCAAAGTTGGTCACCGTGTGTGTGTGTGTGTGTGTGTGTGTGTGTGTGTGTGTGTGTGTGTCTATGCCAAAATTTTTCTGTGTATACTGTGATACACCCATAGATGCTGCTGTCAACAAATGTCCACCTAAGTGTTGAGTGCTTGCCTTCACTCATGTTGGAAGTGTCTTTGTGTATGGGAGATCCTCTCACCCTGCCTCCTCTACTCTGACAGTGGTCCTTCGGTGTGACAATGTGGGAGATCGCCACCCGAGGCCAAACTCCCTATCCAGGGGTGGAGAACAGTGAGATTTACGACTACCTGCGTCAAGGAAATCGCCTGAAACAGCCTGTGGACTGTCTGGATGGCCTGTGAGGACCTTTCAGGACTCTCTCAGAATTTAATCCAACCCTCCATTATTACCCACACAGAGCTCCCAACAACATTTCTAGTACTGGCCAAATGTGCATGGAACCCTTCAGAATATTAAGAAACCCGTTTGCCCCTCACCAGTGCTCTGAGCATGCCAGTGGGGTGGGAGTCTGTTAAAGGTACCTTTTTCAGCTCTGTCGGTTGTGTGGAAGGCAAGCTGGGTCAACCCCTTCCCAGCTCAGCCACGTATTCTTAAGCAATGAACAACTGCATACAACCTTCCTGGGTAGCCCTTTCCCTCACCTCTCATGTGCCTCAACACCCAGGGTCCTTTGCAAAACCCTCCACTCTGCTTTATTGACCTTCTCCAGACTCTCAGAACTCTGAGCTGCTAGCAGGAAACTTCAGGATATGCTTACAACCTTTGCAGCATCCCAGCATGCAGAGAAAGGCGTGACATGGAGCCCATACTTTGAGGCTAAGGAGGATGTTGCTTGGGTCAGGTGGGGATTCAGATTCCCCATACTTCCTTTGGGCACTCCTAGAGCTGAAGAGAATGAGATTGATAGCTAATCTTTTACAGAACTTACTGGAAGGCACGTGCTTTGCTTGTATTGACTCATTTGATCTCTACCACAGTCACAGGAAGTAGAGAGGTGCCATCGTTATCCCCATTTTTGCTGATGAGAAAGTTGAAGTCTTCGGGGAGGGCATATTATTTGCTGCTGTACAAGCTGCTACACTCCAAAATCTAATAATTTTTTTGTTGTTTTTTGTTTTTTGTTTTTTTGAGACAGAGTTTCTCTGTGTAGCCCTGGCTGTCCTGGAACTCACTCTGTAGATCAGGCTGGCCTTGAACTCAGAACTCTGCCTCCCAAGTGCTGGGATTAAAGGCGTGCAGCACCACTGCCTGGCCAAAATCTAATAATTTAAACCCAACATTTGTTTCATGGTGTCTTGAGAGCAGCTTAGTGGGGTGGTTCTGCTGCAGGTCTGGAACAAGGTTATCAAGGCAGCAGCTGGCACTGGAAAACTGATTTCAAGGTGGCAAGCTCATTCTGGGTATGGTGGCACACGCCTCTATTCCCAGCATTCAGGAGGCAGAGGCAGGCAGCTCTCTGAGTTCAAGATCAAGCTCACCTACAGAGCAAGTTCCAGGACAGCCAGGGCTATATGAAGAAGCAAACAAACAACAAACAAACAAACAAAAGGGACCTCTTCTTGAGCTTCCTTACAAGATGACCCAAGAGAATGTGCAAGGGGAAGCTGCACTGCCTTCTATGACCTAGTCTTAGAAGTCATATGTGCGCCATCTCTTCTGCTAAGCCAGAAGTAAATCCCTATGCCTAAAGGGAGGGGCCTTAGTCTCAGCTTTTGAATGGAGTGTCAAAGAATGTAAGGGCATATGAAAATCATTTGACTTCTAGTTCATTCTGGACTCCCATAGGTCTTACCCCGCCCACCCTCCCATGATGTGCTTGGTAAGTGGCAGCAAGGCCAGGCCTTGGTACAAGAGTCTGTTCTGTGTGGCCACACTGGGAAGCTCTGCCCTAACAAACTCTCAGTAAAAAACACCCGAGGCAGGGCAGTGGTGGCGCACGCCTTTAATCCCAGCACTTGGGAGGCAGAGGCAGGCGGATTTCTGAGTTCGAGGCCAGCCTGGTCTACAGAGTGAGTTCCAGGACAGCCAGGGCTACACAGAGAAACCCTGTCTCGAAAAAACAAAAAAAACCCACCGGAGACCTAAGATCCTTCCCAGTTCCTGAGTCTCCTGACCCACCTCAGAAGCTTTGGCACTGTCAAATTCCTGTACACACCCCTAAATTGCTGATGCTCTCTCTAGCTCCCAGGTTCTCTCACCTGAATGCCCTAAATCCTCTCCTTAACTTCTAGTATGCTCCCCTCTGAGCCCCTGCTCAGTCTGCCCCCTTTGCCTTCCCTCATTAGGTATGCCCTGATGTCCCGGTGCTGGGAGCTGAACCCTCGAGACCGGCCAAGTTTTGCAGAACTCCGGGAAGACTTGGAGAACACATTGAAGGCTCTGCCCCCTGCTCAGGAGCCCGATGAAATCCTCTATGTCAACATGGATGAGGGCGGAAGCCACCTTGAGCCCCGTGGTGCTGCTGGAGGAGCTGACCCCCCAACCCAACCTGATCCTAAGGATTCCTGTAGCTGTCTCACTGCAGCTGACGTCCACTCGGCTGGACGCTATGTCCTTTGTCCTTCTACAGCCCCAGGACCCACTCTGTCTGCTGACAGAGGCTGCCCAGCACCTCCGGGGCAGGAGGACGGAGCCTGAGACAATCTTCCACCTGGGACACTCTCTCAGGACCCAAGCTAGGCACTGCCACTGGGGGAAAGCTCACCCCACTCTGCCACTCCAGGCCTTCTCCCCAGCTATAGAATGGCCTTCCCTCCCTTCTCAGATTCAGTCCAGAAAGCTGTGTCCTGCTTTCTGTGCCCTAAACACCCTATCCATAACAAGAAGGGTTGGGTTGCAGTCGCAAAGCATCGTCTCAGATCTTCCATCCCAGCATTTCTAGATTTTAGAGTTCAAAGTTCTCAAAGATGACGAGTCTTTGATTCTATGGAACCCAGATGCTGGTTTCTAGGTCTGAAGTGCTGTTGCTATGGACAAGGCCCACTGTCTGAAGGCTCTGAGATTCTGTGCCTCTAGATTTTTCTAGTTCTATAATTCTTAGCAATGCCCCTGTGGTTTTAGGTTGCGCTGCTCTGAGATTCCAGGAATTAAGGCTTAATAATTCTAGACTTCATTTTTCTGGAGCCCAGGGTCCTGTCCGTGGAAGACTATAGATTTTTAAATTCTAAAAATTTTAGGGATGAAGGTTCTAAGGTACACTGTTCTCCAATTTAACAATGTAAGGCTCATGTTGGAATTCTCCAAATCATAATGTTTCAAACTTTTTTTTTTAATTTCTAAGATTCCAGTGATGGTGAACCACAGTTTCTGAGGCCTTATGACCCTACATTCTTTTATATAAGATCCTGCATCTTAAGGAGATGTGAGTCTAGACTCTGAAATTCAAAAGCTTTAAGATTCTCCAGACAGATACGATGTGACGATAATCTAAAATTTGTTCCAAGGTTCTAGATTCTTCAGCTTCCACATCATATGCTCCCAAGATCCCAGATCACTGAACTCTCAAACCCTCAAGTTGGCCTGATCTTCATCTCAGGCACTGTCTGATGCTGTAGGTCCAAGACAATGGGTCCTTGGTGTCTAAGTCATAAGAGGCTCACAGTTAATTATGACTAACGAAACACCAAAGTTCTAACCATTTCTAATGCTGGACACCTCTAGGTTCTATGCTGCCTTCTGCCTTTCTAGCACACAATTAAATGTCCAAGGATCCATATGTGTAAAGATCTTAAATCTCTAAGTGCTATAACTTAAGAATCCAGTGTTCTGAGTGCCTAAGATTCTAAAGGCCCACAAGGTACGATTCCAAGGATGGAAGCTTGCAGCCATCCTAAGCCCTTTCCCTCCTTAGGCACCCATGCTTCCTCCTCTCCGAGTGCGGGGTGCACCCCACCTTGAGCCTGTGCAATGCATTGGGAATGCCTCCTTTCCTCCAAGGGATGGGTCATCTCCCCTCCTTCTGGGCCATGCTGCCCCTTGAGCCAGTCCCTTGTCCCTGTTCTGAAGTATGGACTCTGGTGCCTCCAGAGAGGCTCAGATCACATAAAACTTTTGTCAATCACTGTTCTGTCTCTTGTCTCCATTCAACTGTGATACGGCCCCGACCCCTGGAGATTCAGTTTCCCTACTGTGAAAAGAAAGGCTCCTGTGTGTACCTGTAATCCCAACACCTAAGTAGCAAGATGATGGAAAGTTAGTTGCGGGCCATCAGGGCTTACATAGAGGGACCCTAACCTCAAAAAATAAGAAAGGTTTGAGGGATACCTGAGAATGTTTTCATTAGTGATGGTAGACATGAACCATGCATATAGACAAATATATACAACCGAGCAAAGTCAAACTCTCAGAAAGCCCTGAGGAATACTCTCTCTCTCAGAGAGACAGAGAGAGAGAGAGAGAGAGAGAGAAAGAGAGAGAGAGAGAAAGACACAGAGAGAGAGAGAGACACAGAGAGAGAGAGACACACAGAGAGAGAGAGAGAGAGACAGAGAGAGAGACACAGAGAGAGAGAGAGAGAGAGAGATACAGAGAGAGACACAGAGAGAGAGAGACAGAGAGAGAGAGACAGAGAGATTGAGAGGGTCTTACACAAACACTCCAAAGTAACAGACACACTCAGGCAAACCTAGCCACAAATACAAAGGCCTAATTATTCACACACAGTAACAGGAGCATATAAACCCACACTTGTAACTGAGACACAGAAGAGCATTACTCACACTCAAGAATCAAATGTGGTGCCCATAATCTCAGCGCTTGAGAGGTGTAAGCAGAAAGACGAAGAATTCAAGGTTGTCCCTGATTTCATAGAGAGATCCAGGCCAGCCTGGGCTACGTGAGACTGTCTTAATAAAGAAGAAAACAAATAAACAAATATGCCCAGACTAGCACAACAGACTCTCACACAGGCAAACATCAAATTGTCGAGGGAAAAAATGGACCAGAACAACTCGATCCACAGATGCACAAAAGATTGAGTCTTCACTTTTTCCTAGGCTGTGACTACTACGGATGTAAGAACCCTATGCAGCGTCCGGTCGCCCCCCGGTGGTGGCTCTTGAGAACGGGGTACAGTTCAATCCGGGCCACAAAGGTGTGTGTGTGTGTGTGTGTGTGTGTGTGTGTGTGTGTTTAAATCATTGTGGGCAGCTGGGAGGAGAGAGGAAGTCCGACGTGGGCGAGGGGCGGGGTGTCTGGACTGGAACCTCGGGCCCACGTGAGTGTCTGTCCCGCTGCTGAGTGGGTGCTGTGTGTCTAGGTTGCTGTGGTGTAAACTTGTAGTGTGAACTGTTCTAGCGGAGCTTTGTCGCATGATGCTGCATGCTTGTGCCACACCTACACTGCCGTTTGAAGTCTTATCCTGAATTGATGCTTTTGGTCGGCCATGCCTATTTATTGTGGGATAGCTTGCCTCTATCTAAGTAGAGTGTGTTTGTGGCTTTTGTTGAGCGTTAGGGCTATAGGTTGGTTTTCAGTGCACGTTTGCATTGTGAGTCTCGGTGTTATGTCACTAAATTTTTGTCTTCTGAGCAAGGGGCGACAGGTGTACGGATGAATACTACCTGTCGTAATTACGGATCCTCGTGTGCGCATTGGTCAGTGTAGACACAGCAAGATTAAGTGAACGGTTTAGAGGATTCGAGATGGAAAGCCGCGAACTTCTGCAGCAATGTCCAGAGAGGGAAGGCTCTATGGTCGCGTGCAGAGTGGCTTGTCTAGCAACCATAGAGAAAGCGCCCTGGGAGGATGTGCTATCAAAGGGAGGGGTGCCATTTACCAAACAACTTTTCTCTGGTTGTTAGCCTAGCCCCTACTTTCAACCCTTCAGCGCTCTCCAGAACCAATTCTTTTGTTGTTGTTTCTCATAAAGGCAACTGTGTCTCTAACAAACGATGAGTAACACATCCACTTAATTTTCATCCCGTATTATACCTTGCTGTACAGAGAACTTTGCGAGGCAAGCCTCTCGAGAATGGCCAATCTAGTTAGCGTTTCCTAAAGCGCTCAAGGGTATGGCGGTGGTGAAATATAACAGTAACTGCGATTGGCGAGCCTGATTGTTTTGAAACCGCCCTAACGGCAAGGGGCGGGCCCTCGGTGAATTAATCTCCTTCCGGTTTCCGAAAGACAACAGGAAAGACGAGGGTTGGCCGACCTCTTCCCGCCGCATTTGATTGGCTGTAGTGATTTTACCCGCTGGGCCTCCGCGAGGGGCGTGAGATGAAGACCAGTTAGAATGTGCTTTACAGAGGGTCCGAGGGAAGGACGGCTCGGAGAGACTGGGCGGTCATTCTGAGATCTCATTGCTAATTGCTCCAAGTCGTTACTCCCTTTTCTTCATTTGACTGTACCGCTGCGGGCGCGCGGACGCTACCCAATCAGTGCTAGCTCCGCCTCTTGTCTTTTCCCGCCCTCCACTCTGGCCGCGACTTCAACGTAGGCTAACGCTTCCTCTTAGGCAGCTCCTGAGCCCCTACTACCGTTCTTTTGAAAGGCACACTGTGATTGGCTTGGTTCTTGGGCCCGCGCCCGTTGCCCCATGCGCTGACCAATTGAAACTCGTTTTACATCTTACGGTACGGGCAAGGGGGAGGAGGCGGCGGCGGCCATTTTGAGCCGCCGCCATTGGAGTGGCCCCCCCTTTTTCCCCCTTCGCCTCCTGACAGGCAAGGTTTAGGGGAGACAGAGCCCTGGGAGGCCGGGCCGGGCTCGGGGGCCGCCCCGGGGGCCCGGGCCATGGATGTGCGTCGCCTGAAGGTGAACGAACTTCGCGAGGAGCTGCAGCGCCGCGGCCTGGACACTCGCGGCCTGAAGGCCGAGCTCGCTGAGCGGCTGCTGGCGGCGCTAGAGGCCGAGGAGCCCGAAGACGAACGGGAGCTCGAGGCTGACGACGAACCGGGGTTACCTGGGCACAACAACGAGGAGGTCGAGACCGAGGGGGGCTCCGAGCTGGAGGGGACCGCGCAGCCACCGCCGCCCGGGCTGCAGCCGCACCCGGAGCCCGGCGGCTACTCGGGGCCGGACGGACATTGTGAGAGTGCGCGGGGCGGGGGACCGGGGAGCCTGGAGTCCGGGCTGAGGACGGGCTGTGGGACGCGGGAGCTCGACTCCACGGAGATCCAGGAGATGGTCTGAGGATCCAGGGATCCCGCCACCTGCCGCTGTAAAGGATTGGCGGCCGGGGCCTCGGGGCAGCCTGAGGGCGGATCCTGGCCTTGGGTGCAAGGGAAATCGTGTGGAGGGGGGATGGATTTTGTTTTAAGGCGACATAGGGTACGAGCGGGCGGGCGGGCGGGCGGGGAGGACTTTATATCCTGGGATTCGGAGACCGGAAACTGTTTGGGGGTTCTGTTTTGTGTGTTTGAGTTGGGAAAAGTCGGAAGAACTAGACGCTTTAGGGAAAGGGGTGTCGGGGGTGTCGTCTTGGAAAATGGGAGATTCTAGCTGAGCTTTGAGCTCACAGCTTGGGTAGCCGTGCTAGTCCACCGTTTGGGCTGGGTCTCAAAAGCTGGATTTCCAGGTAGGGGAAGAATGGCCAAGGGTGCAGGACTGGGAGAATTTTAAGGATAGAAGATCTTTGATTTTCCTCACGGATGGGATACTGGGACGTCTGCTTAGTGCTGGGGAGGGGGGGTGGATTGGCGCTTTGGACCTATTTGTGTCCGAGGCTGGGAAGTTTCCCCAAACATGGACTGAACGCTCCAGTGTTTGGCAGGTGAGCTTTTAGGAGATAATGAAAGACCAGCAGAAGATTTGGAAATCCCAACTCCTACATTTCAGTTACAGGGTCAACCTCGAGGGCAGGTACAACTTGTATATTTGGTACCGGGAGATCTAGGCTATCTAGCTGGCTTCTAGAGGAGATTTGGGATCTAAATGGTGACAAGAAAGGACAGAATCTTTTAACAGACAAAGAAGCTAGAGGGTCTAGAATTGAGAAGACTCTCAGGACAGTACTCCATAGTTTCTGCTGAATGGCCTTGCATTGTTAACTATGGATAGTTTTCCAAACAGGAGTAGCTGGAGTTGTGAGGCATGGACTGTGTGGTGGGCAGAGGGCCCTTGTGTCTGCCAGGGGTCATGTCGCTGCTCTGGCAGATGTGGGGGAGGGAAACATGGAGGATATGAAAAAGAAAGGAAACCTGTTGCTTTGGCTGGGGGCCTCATGCTGAAGCAGTGGGAGTATCCCTTTCCAAGAGTGGGCTCCTGAGTCTCCAGAAACAGTAACTTATGTGCCCAGGGAGATGGGGTACTCAGGGGATATGGGGGAACTTGATCAGCCCAGAGTGTCTCTAAGAATTAGGATTGGCATAAATGAGCAGTCCCTTGAGTAGAGGAGATCCTGGTATGAGAGGGAACTTAGAACTAGACACTGTGGCGTCCAACACTTAGAGTGTTCTTCTGAGAAGAAGGTACTGTAGAACTTGGGACTAAACAGTAAAAAGAAGAAAAAAATGAGTCCTCAAAAGAAACTTGTGATTAGCATCTGGTTCACTTGTTCATAAGAAGTGGGATCCTGTGAGGGGTCGCCCTAGATGTAGATGGTTGTAGAGTGTTAGGGATTACCCATGTGCTGACAAGTCTTCCATGGACAGTTCCCTGTGAAGAAGGGAGGAGTGGCCTGTGAATGTATCCAGAGCTGAGGAACCCTGGCAAGAAAGGCTTGTGAAAGAGCTGAGAGGATGCTGCCCTTAACCTTGCTTCTATTCTGACAGAAGGGTCTTGGGAAAGTGAGTTGGATGCTTCAGAACAACCTGTAGACTTGGCAGACCTTTGTGAAGTAAGCAGATCCTTCCCACTCTGGGCCTGGTCTCCTTGTAAAGTGGGAATGGGAAGATTATCCGCCTGGAGTTGTTAGTCCTGAGATTGTGTGTCTAAAGGGCTTCATAGCAAGGTTGCCTGTCTTTAGGGGAATGTTATAGAGAGTAGAAAAGGACCCTAACATCATATCCTCTCTAGGCCAGCCTATCCCCTGTTGGGGGAAAGAACACAGGCTTTCTGGGGAAGCCATTGTCCTGAGACTGAAGGAAGAATAGTTTGAAGAGGCCTTGTGTTCCAGTTAA